GTCTAGAGCCCCCAACCGCTCCATCTCTCCACGTCCATCTCAGGCATCACTGCCTCTCGGGGTAGGGTCCCCCTCTCCACTCTTCTTCCTTGATTGGACCCTGATCTCTTAACTCCTGATCCCAGGCTCACTCTGAGACAAGGGGCAGGGAGGAGGATAGACAGCGAACCGTGCCTGAAGCCCACAGAAGGCGTGTCGTAAACCCCCCAGAATCAACCTTGGGGCCCCTCTGTGGTCACCTCCCTCATTTTACCCTCGAGCTGCCAAGCTGGGCACTTCCTCTCCCCTCCCTTGTGGTTCTTTATCATTACTGTGAGCGCAGGGATTCACTTAATTACGCTCCTGTCTCCTGGAGCCCGGGCCTCAGAGGTGATTCCAGGCCTGCCTGAGGCTGCTGGGAACAGCTGCCCAGGGAGCCAAGTCCCCACTGGGATCTCCTTCCCTTCAGTCCCGAACTGGAGGTAGCCCTGGCTGTCTTCCTTTGCAGGGTGCCAGCATAAAGGGCGGGCTGGGTGCAGGCACGGGTCAGGTTGGATGGTGGGTATAGGGACTGGACTCCTCTGAAGCCAGGCCAGCTCTTCAGGAGATGGCAGGGGAGGGCTGACAAAGGAGGCAAAAGTCCACCAGACGAGAGACCTGCCTGCCCAGGACCCCAGCTTTATGATGGGATCATGCAACAATTTAAGCTGACTCCTTTCTTGTCCAAATAGACCAGTCTTTGAAAATGTACTAAAGCCCTTTTGAGTAAGTGATCCCTCATCTGAGCAACACCACCACGGTCCAGCTTTTTATGTCTCCCCCTCCTGAATGCGGTGGAAAGCTTGGCTCTTTAAAACCACAGCAGTGATCCCTCCTGACTTTGGTCTTATCCAGGTCTTTGCATTGGCATCTTGAGTGTTGCTTCACTTTGTGTAACAGATAAACTCTTGTAAAACATTATTTGAATATTGACAGTTGTAACTGTATCAGTCTCTGGAGGTTGCGTGTAACAAAGTACCACAGCCTGGGGGGATGAAAACAACAGAAATGTATTTTCAGGTTGGTTCTGTGGACTCAGACTCTTAGAGACCTCATGTACATACAGCACAAGGAAACTCTACCTGCCCAAGTGCCACTACTCTGTCATCCAGCTCGTTGGGGGGTCTTCCTCTTTTTCGCTGACCAAGCATGATATCCTTCTCCATGGACCGTTGCTGTTCTGTCTGGGGGTGGGGGTTCTGGGTACCTCTGCCTGCCATGATTCCCCCCCACCCCCAGTCCTCTTGGCCATCAGTGATTCAGGCTCATCAATTTGCACATCCGATGGCTGATCCAGTTCTCTCAGTTCAGTGGGGCTGGGCCCAGGTGGCTAGGATGCTGGAAAGCTGCATCAGCGTGAGGAGGGGCTTTCCATGAGGGTCTGTTTGGGGCGTGTGATGTGTGTGTGGGGGGGTGAGTCCTCTGAACATCTTGCTGGGGCCCTAGTGACTGACAGATGAGTCTTGAGGACAGTGCATACCTCCTGTCACCTGTGCCAGCTGTTTGTAAGGACTTTTTTGTCTCCACTAGGTCAAAGTGGCTCTAGTAGCGTAGTGGTTACGAATTGGGCTGTGAACCACAAGTTCAGCAGTTCAAAACTACCAGCTGCTCTGTGGGAGAAAAATGAGGCTTTCTGCTCCCGTAAAGATTTACAGCCTCGGAAACCCTGTTCAGGGTCGCTATGGGTCGGAACCGACTCGACGGCAGTTAACAACAACAAAAGGTCAAAGTGGGTAGAGAGGACTCCAGCCTTGATGGAACATGTTTGAGGGCCTCAGTTTCCTGTCAGGGGGATTACTCCCTGGTTGGGGTTCCCCTTTGGGAGACTGGCAGGTATTATGTGGTTGTGAAGCATCAAGGAAACAGCAGTGTGGGTCCCCCTCCTGCAGGGGCCGGCTCGGGAAGGAAGCTCTGCTGGTAATGAATCTGTCCCCTCCTGTCCTTGCAGATCCCTCGTCCACATATGTCAGGCAGCTGGAGACCAAGGTGAAGTTGCTGGAGGGTGACCCGAAGCTCCTCACACAGGTAGGCATCGCAGCCACACCCGCCACACCCCAACTTCCCACCTGCCCTCCTGTGTCCTAGTGGGAAGTCACCCTGGAGACAGCTGGCTGGGCCTCTGGGCTGCCTGGCATCACTGCCCGCATCCCATGGTCTTGGGCTCTGTGCAGGCCAGTCAGGGCTTAAGTACCTGGGGTTGGTACTTAACACACAGGGCTGGGCTGTGAGCTTTTAGAAACCTCCATGTCCTGCTGGGCCACATCCTTTCCACCCCTTGGGACCTGGCCCCATGGCTCACATGATGTGCCTGTGGCCACTTCTGCCATTGGACAGGTTAGAGAAGAAGCCGTCACCAGGCTGTTGTGGGGAGATGTAAAGAGGACTACGTCTGGGTGGCCTTGGGGATTGGTCTTGATCCATCCCTGATTTATCTCAGCCCCCTCCCCACTGTCTCCACTGGCCCCAACGTGGCAGTTAGGATGTTTCAAGGGCTTCTCTGGGGACCAGTCCAAGAGGCCTCAGCTGCCCTGTCCCATTGTTAGGCGACTGTTGAAGTTGGCATGACCATGCTGCACAGAACCTGTTGCCCACTGGCTGGCTTTTGTGAGGCTCCTAGCTCACCCCAGGCGTGGAGGGAAGATACTGTCACTAAGAACGCTCACCATGCTCTGGCAGGGACACAGTGTGTGCATATCATACCAGCTTTCTCTTCCTTCCCTGTAGGGTGTGGTGTGTACACACCTCACAAGGGGTAGCGGTACACATACACATCACACCATTCTCTCTCTCTCTGTGGGTACACTGTGACTATACACATCACACCCGGCTCTCTTTCTGTGGGTACACTGTGAGTATACACATCACACCCGGCTCTCTCTCTGTGGGTACACTGTGAGAACACACATCACACCCGGCTCTCTCTCTGTGGGTACACTGTGAGAACACACATCACACCCGGCTCTCTCTCTGTGGGTACACTGTGAGAACACACACCACACACCGGCTCTCTCTCTGTGGGTACACTGTGAGAACACACATCACACCCGGCTCTCTCTACGTGGGTACACTGTGAGAACACACATCACACCTGGCTCTCTCTCCGTGGGTACACTGTGAGAACACACATCACACCTGGCTCTCTCTCTGTGGGTACACTGTGAGAACACACATCACACCCGGCTCTCTCTCTGTAGGTACAGTATGAGAACACACATCATACCCGGCTCTCTCTCCATAAGTACACTGTGAGAACACACATCACACCCGGCTCTCTCTCTGTGGGTACACTGTGAGAACACACATCACACCCGGCTCTCTCTCTGTAGGTACACTATGAGAACACACATCACACCTGGCTCTCTGTGGGTACACTGTGAGTACATGCTTCATGCCCAGGTTTTGCTGGGCCTCCACCTGACCCCCACCTGTTAGAGTTCAGGGCTGTGTGTGTCATTCTCACATTCCAGTGTGGTGTCGCAGCCTCGGCGTGCTCACTGATCAGTAGTGAACAGTTCCTTCTGGTCTCACACATGGTAGATTCTCCTTCTAGGCCTGGCTGGCATCTGTCTCCCAACCCCCTGGTACCTTCCTTCTGAATCAGTTAGTGCCTCTTTTTACATTTCCAACCCTGGCATGGATGGAGTACTCAGTAAGCAAGGACTTACTTGTGCTTACTTAGTAATCTGTACCACAAGGAGCTCATGTTTACCTTACTTATTTGGTAATCTGCCCTTCCATCCATCTCTCCAATTGGCACGCCATTCTCACAAGGGACCATGTTTCCAGGACTGGGACCTCCTGCTCCAGGCCCACTGTGCAGGAGGGGTTTGTCTTGTGGCTATGATATAAGCAGATCGCGTAGTGGTTACGAATCGGGCTGCGAACCAACCGCAAGGTCAGAGGTTCAAAACGACCAGCTGTTCCATGGGAGAAAGATGGGACTTTCTGCTCCCGTAAAGATATACAGCCTCGGAAACCCTGTTCAGGGTCCCTATGGGTCGGAATAGATTCGACGGCACATAACAACAGTAACAACTAGCTGGACAGGTGGCTCTGCCCGGATGCCCTCAGTCCCGGAGGCTGCAGACCTGGGCCAGACACGTGGGCAAAGACTCCTGTCAGGGAGTTGCGGACCCTGGACTGGGCCCAGCCTTGCCAGTCGTGGTCACCAGGTTGCCCCTGACTGCTGCTCAGTGTCTGTGAAGGTCCTGACAGTGACCAGGGAAGATCGCAGAAGGATCGATGGTGTTGGTGAAGAAGATCGGAAGTACCATGGACTGCTCCTTAGATGTGAGGATGGTGAGAATTTATGTTACGTACTTTGGACACGTTGTCAGGAGGGACCAGTCTCTAGAGAGGAACAGAAAAGAAGACCCTTGAAATGGATTGACACGTGGCAGCAACAGTGAACTCAAACACAGCCAAGATTGTGAGGACAGCGCAGGGCCAGGCAGGGGTTTGTTCTGTGGTACATCTGGTTGCTATGAGTTGGAACCCACTAGATGACACCTAACAACAACAGTGTAACTGTGCGGTGCTATAGAAGGGCTAGAGCCCCCAAGAGGCCAACAGGGGAAGCTGCTTCATGAGGTATCCCATCTTTATGGTGAAGACTGGCTGGCCATGTTGGGGAACCTCAAAGTAAAAGACGGCTTCTCTGAGCAGGATGCTGGCCTCATGTTTCTGCTTTGTGAAATTGTTACGATCTTGCCATTTAAATCTTGTACATTGGCCCCCATCTCTGCAATGCAGGCGAGTCTGCCGGAGCCGAAGAGGGGAAGGAATACTGTCAGGTGTGTGCAGTTTCTCTGGGGATTGGGTGTGAGGGCAGGGCCACTCCTGCCCCCTCCATGGCCTCTATTTAACACCAAAATAATTTTAGTTAAAAATGTGGTGGCGGGTTCACAGACTCAATTTCAGAACCGCAGTCTGCATTTTTCTTTTTCCTGTCGCTTTTACAATCCCATCAACACAGCTGCTTCCTCCTTGATGGTTCATCTGAGGCTCTGCACGCGCTATTATCGTTCCAGAGCATTCTCTGAGCTGGGCAGGCGGGGGCGGATGTAATTGATGCCCCAGGGCCTCCTCGGGTTCCCTCGTGTTCACTCCCCCGCCATCCGATAAATGAAGCCTCTATGGTACACCCCAGAGCCAGCTCCACAAAAGAGCAAAAGGCGCTCTGGCCGTCTTCTGGAACAGTTGGGTGGCTGGGAGTCTTGGGGAGTGAAGGCCTGCTTGATGGGGAGCTCCCAGTCAGCCCCCTTGCTCCCCACCCCTGTCCTACCACCACCACACAGTTGTGGGTACTCAGGCTGCAAGTGACTCTCTAGAGTGGCCCTGAGCTCTGATGGGGAAACAGAGGCCTCCAGCAGGGTGGATTGCTTCCTGACATTGGTAGTATATTGGGGAAGTGGGTGTGGGCATGGAGGTATCTGAGTTCAAGCCCCTGGTAGGGATTCAAGCAGTTCCTTTTCCTCTTGGCACATTTTCCATAGCTATGAACAAAGGTGGTGATGCCTTGCACAATATAGAATAAACCCCTGAGAAGATGCTTCTGGAAGGCCCCAGGCTGTGCCCACCCTTCCTGTCCCTTGGCTAGTGGCTCATCCCTGAATGCCCACTGTGGACTGTTCTAGCCTGAGCTTTGAAACCCTCTAGCCTGGGAGGAGGGGTGCCATCTCCTGACCACATGCCCTGTACCCCTGAGGAAGAAGACCCTGCTGATGAGCTGACCTACAGAGGCTTAATGAGTGTCCACCATTATCAGCTGGGCAACTTTGGGCCTCAGTTTTCACATCTGTCAAATGGGACTCTAATGGTGCCTGGAACTCCTGGTGGTAAAAGTGATGATTGCACTTGCCTGCTAACTGAAAGGTTGGAGGTTCGAGCCCACCCTGAGGTACCTTAGAAGAAACGCCTGGCTGTCTGCTGCTGAAAAACCTGCCATTGAAAACCTTCTGGAGCACAGTTCTATGTGGACACACCTGGGGTTGTTCTGTGTTGCAGTTGCCTTGACGACAACTGGTTTTAGAGGTGCCTCACACATAAGGGCTGCTGGGCAGATAAAATGAGTTCCTGTAGTTCCTGGGAGTGGCAGGGAGTAAATAGCTGGGTGCTAATGATAGCGTAGTGGTTATGAATCGGGCTGTGAACCTTAAAGTCAGCAGTTCGAAACTACCAGCGGCTCCGTGGGAGAAAGATGAGGCTTTCTGCTCCTGTAAAGATTTACAGCCTTGGAAACCCTGTACAGGGTCGCTATGGGTCGAAACCGACTCGACAGCACTTAACAACAACAACAACAAGCCTATGGTATCACTGAGCTGCCCCTTTTAACCTCTGTCACCCCCATTTATAAGCAGTGAAATGAAGCCCAAGTGTTTGTGTGGGTGGGTTCACCTAGCAAAGATGGGGTTGGGTTCCGAGTCAGCACGACTCCAGAGCTTCCCTGTCATCATTGGGATCCCGTGGAGGAGGGGACAGCCGGGGCAGTGGTGAGGTCTGGTCCATGTATTATCCCAGGCACCCGTCCGCCAAGGCCTCCCACTTCTAGATGCCCCATGCTTACAAAATGTGATTTTGTATCTGAGATTGTGTAGGGAGCAGGGGACTCGAGCCAGCTGGGCACAGCCCCGCCCGCTGCGCACTAACTGCATGTTTATCTCCCCTCCGGGTCTGAGCGCTAATTAGGATGAAACCTCTGGGCGCCCGTAGTAGCCAGAGAACAGCTCCCCCCAACCCGTCCTTAACAGCCTGCAAGCATATTCTCTTCAAATGAAAGGAATGAATGAAGAAAGAATCGGACTGGAATTTATTGGTTGTGAGGGCCTTGTGAGGTCACCCTGGAAACAGAACGGACCAGGTGGGGTGGGTACCCCTAACCCAGCCACTCCGAGCTCGTGGAGGTCTCGGGGTATCCCTGCCTCCCCCCATCCAGAAGGCTGGTTTGCCTGGTGGGGCAGCGGAGAGCTTGTTCTGGTGTGAGTTGGGTCCTGGCTGAATCTAGTGTTTCTAAACACAGGAGCTCCTGGGAGTACCTCAGGGACCCTGCACCCTGGTCCCGGCCCAGCTGAGGCCAGGAGGTGTACCATACAGGTATCCAGAGATGGGTCTGGGCAGAGGGTGATGTTCTTCTCTTCCTCCTAGCTGTCCTGCACCTTTGCCCCCCCAACCCCCTCAAGCTGGCTGCAGCTACTGGTGTGTGGTGGGTGCCCGTGTGTGTGTGTGTGGGGGGGGGGAGAGGACTTTTCTGAGTGCTGTGCCATGCCCTTCTGCTCTGGCCCCTCCTCTCCCCTACCATGCAGGGCACCCACCCCAACTTCCCATTCATCCTAGGACCGATTCTCTCTCAGCTGGTATGAGCTTGTGGCCTTGTAGCATAAGGAGCTCTGGTAGCGTAGTGGTTACGAATTGGGCTGCTAATCTCATGGTCAGCAGTTCGAAACTACCAGTGCTTCCGCAGGAGAAAGATGAGGCTTTCTGCACACTAAAGATTTACAGCCTCGGAAACCCTGTACAGGGTTGTTATGGGTTGAAATCGACTTGATGGCACTTAACAACAACAAGGATAAAACTAGAGATTCAGGAAGTGACCCCTCCCACAGGGCCTCCCTGGAAGCCCCCCCCCCTTTTGCCCAAACCCTCCCTCTGTCTAGGTGTGTGTGTGTGTGTGTGTGTGTGTGTGTATGGGGACAGTTGTAGCCCCACATTACAGGTAAAAGAACTCAGCTCACCTGGGAGGGGGACTTTCTAAGGTGATGAAGCCCAGAGACCTTCTCTGCTCCTGGCTTCTGGCACTGGGGATGGGAGCAGGGTTTTGGCCAAGGTCCCTCAGTCTTGGGTGGAGGGTCTCACATAGATCACAGAGTCTTCCAATACTGCACGGCTCACCCCCAACCCTAAGCATGGGCTTGGTATGCAGGTTGGGCTGTCCAGTGATGCTTCTGACCCTGTGGTTCTCATCTAGGGGCAGGGTGATTTTGCTCCCCAGAACAATGTCTAGAGACATTTTTAATTGTTACACTTTGGGGGGTGTTGGGGGTTTATTTTACTGGCATCTAGTGGGTAGAAACCAGGGATGCTGCTCAAAACTCTATAATACCCAGAATAGGCTTTCTCTAGCCCTGTGGGTCATAGTACTGAGGATGAGGAACCCCCAGGGCTGAGACCTTCCTGTTCCTACAGCAGAGCTGGGGCACACAAGCTGTATTCTGGCGCCTCTAGAGTTTGCAGTGACACCCCTCTGCTGCCTCTCCCCAATGAGAAGACTTCCCAAGTATGTTCGTAGTCATTGGAGTGATGCTAATACTAACAGGTATTATAGACTCCTGGTATCGTGCTGTAGGATAAACACTGGACTGCTAACCACAAGGTCAATGGTTCAAACCCACCTGCTGCCCTTCAGAAACCCTGTACAGAACCGACTTGACGACATTTAACAATAACAACTCTCCCTTCTGGATGCCAGCTGCAAACTTGGGGTTCCTAGGACTCCCCTCGCTTCTGAGCTGCTGACTACAAATTCAGCCCTCCTCATTTCCGACCTGCTGGTCCCCACATCTGGAAGAATGATTCACCACACTCAAGACAATGTTGTGCTTGGGATTACAGTTTCACTATCTCTGGTTGGTGGTGATTATGTGCCGTGGAGTCGGTTCCAACTCATAGCGACCCTGTACAGGGTTTCCTAGGCTGTAAGTTTTTACGGGAGCAGAAAGTCTCATCTTAAAAGAGTACAAATGAAGAGAGACACATAGGTTGAGGTCTAAGAGGGTCTCCAACACAGAATTATGTCTCAAAGAATGCACGACTCTCCCATGCACATTTATGCCTACCTAGCACCAACCTGCTGTTGTGCTGTGGGTTAATGGCTGGACTGAAAAGTTGGTGGTTCAAGCTCACCAGCTGCTACTTGGAAACCTTATACAGGGTTGCTATGGGTCGGAACTGATTCGATGGCACTTAACAACAACACCACCTCCCCCCACCAACCAGGAAATCCATGGAACCTCAGCATCCAGAGTCTGCTCTGTGTATAAGGTTCCCCCTCCCTCGGTTCTGAGGAACAATGCTAGCAGGGAGCTGGGACGGCATCCTCTTCTGGCAGTGTGCCTTCCTTGCCAGTCCCTGTGTCCCCTCTGGAGTAAGTTAACCCCGAGATCTCACACTGTGAGGGGACCCCAGGGCAGACACTTGGAGTTTTAATTTGGATGTAAGTGTCTGAACAGTGATTCATTTTGATGCATCGTTAGCTACACTGCCAGTTAATGAGAGGTTGTGCACGTCCCCTACCTGCCTTGCTAATAAAGTTCTACGACACAGATATTTATAGATGCTCCCAGAACACATGGTGGGAATTGTGTGCTGCTAATTAAAAAACTCCCCAGCCCCACTGACACACAGCTCCGCCTAGGGCATCATCTAAGGCGAGGGCAGGAGAAACAGCAGAATCGTTTATGTGGGACCAGAGAGGCAGTAGAAGGGGCACCCGAGCCCCAAACAGAACGAAATGGGGTGTGGGTCAGTACAGGGACGTCTGGGTCCAAAGACTAGTGGGAGGGAGCCGTGCCTCCAACACCCCACACTAGCATGGCCCCGGACCACTGACGGATCCTTCTCTGTGTCTGGCTAGAGCTGAGACCTCCCCACCTTGCTTTTTTGCTCATTGTTACTAATTGTTGTTGAACTAGTTTGCACCTCATACTCATCTAGTGGGTAATAACAAACCCATGCTCTACCCTGTGCCACCCCATGGTTGGTTTCAGATTGGGCTTATGGGATCCATAGGGTTTTGGTTTGCTGACTTTCAGAAGTAGATCTTCAGGCCTTTGTCCTTAGTCTCTTAGTCTGGACCCTCTGCTGAAATCTGTTCCCCATCTCCATGGAGACACTGATGAGCCACAGTCACTGGGAACTGAACTTGGTCTCCCACGAGAGGTTCTGTTTGGGGCATGAGAATGTTACCACCGCCCTCTTTGTATAATGCGGGAGGGGGCGGGGGTGGTCAGATGGGAAGTCCTTGGTGCGGACATTGTTCAGGTTTAGAATGTACTCATGGTTGGAGACAACTTAGTAAGTGTCCCAGAGACAGACCAGGAAGGACATATGGTTTGGGCTTTTGTCTTTAGGTGATGTTCAGGGTGAGCCGTGGAGGAGGGGCGCTCTGGGACAGTCAGACACAGGTAGAGGTGGACAGTGAGGACAGATACGCCGTTGTGGAGCGGGCTTTGGAGATGTGCTCAGGGGAGGCCTTCGTGGTCGAAGACTCCAGGAGGGACAGGACTGTCTCTGGCCAGGTGCTTGTCCTCTTAGATTGAGCCCTCACCCCTAACCTCACACTCCACAGCAGGCTGGTCCCGGAGAGTTCCGAACTCTGCGAAAAGGCTTCTCACCGTACCACTCCGAGTCCCAGCTCGCGACCCTGCCGCCCTCCTACCAGGACTCCCTGCAGAACGTGAGTGCCCCCTCCCACCCTCTCTAAGGACCATGGTCTGAGCCCCTCAGAACTCTTGCTTCACCTTTGAGATCAGAGTTGGGAGGTTCTGGTAGGGGGCACACAGTGAGTGGTAAGGGTTACCATGGCAACTGTGGCCCCTCAGCTGCCAGCACTTTCATGTTAGCAGGATCCTGAAGCCTGGGGTCTCCCCTTGTGCAGTGCAGGGCCCCCTGAAACCAGTGATGGGTTCCACCCACTAGGCGTCCCCGCATCTTCCTTCTGAATTATCTAAGGGAATGCCAAAAGTGACAGCTGAAAGATGAGGCTGTCTGCCGCCATAAAGACTTACAGTTCCTGAGCCTATATAGGAGCTCTGGTAGCGTAGTGGTTACGAACTGGGCTGCTAACCTCAAGGTCGGCAGTTCAAAACCACCAGCTGCTCCGCAGGAGAAAGATGAGACTTTCTGCTCCCATAAAGATGTACAGCCTCGGAAACCCTGTGCAGGGTGACTATGAGTCGGAACCAACTTCACGGTACTTAACAACAACAACATGAGTCATTTCCAAGGCAGTGACTGGGTTTTAGGTGCACCAAGACCCCTTCATGTGGTGCCCGGTCTGCCAAGTGTGTGGAGGGCTGCCTTTGGGGGGCCCCAGAGAGAATGCACCAGGCCTGGGGCCCAGAGCCCTCACCAGTGCTGACAAATTGTCAGAGTGAGTTAGCGTCTCTCGGAAGGTTCCGGAAGGTTTTCTGGTGGAGGCCTTGGAGGGGCTGTCACCCCACTTTGCAGAGGGAGTCCCTAGACCCATGGGGTAGGGCCCCCTGGTGGCGAGAGCTGATGTGACCAGTGTGAGGCTGTGGAGGGGTCTCTACCCTATGAGGGTTTTGGGGGGCCCTGCGCTCAGTGGAGTTGGGGGAAGACTCCTGTATAGGGTGTCTGTGGGTGAGGAGTCCCAGGTCAGAGGGTCGAGAAGTAAACCAGGTGACTATGGGTGGGGCCCCATGTCGGCCTATTCTCAGCCGAGTGAAGGGTCATGTCTCCCCTCAGCCATCTGTGAGGAGGAATGAGGTTTTGACAGACCCCTGGGGGAGGTAACTCTTCCTACTTTTCCTTTTTACAGTCAGCTGACTTTTATTTATTTATTTGTTTATTATATATGTGTTGCTGTTATTAAATGCCATCGAGTTGGTTCCGACCCATAGCGACCCTGGATAGGGTTTCCGAGGAGCAGCTGGTGAGCTTGAACTGCC